GTTTTATTGGAGCTGCCCTGCCAATAAGTTTGAATGTGAGGTAGCAGTCCTCAGATTTAAACTAGGCCTTATTCGACATGAGGCCAGACAGGAAGCACGATGACGAGGTTTTTCTCTCTCAACTTGTTCCAAAACAGTCCTGCGCTCTGCTCTCCCAGCATCTACACAAAATGTTTCTGTATCTCTCCAGGTATCTTTCCCCTATAGCCAAAACCTACATCCTATGTCTACTCACCCTATCCACCAGTCAAATCTACTTTCCATCCTAAATCCAGATACTCCAATCTCTACCACTTCCCGGATACCTACCCCTCCTCCTCACTTTAGTTGTCGTACCAGGCAACCAAAATTTCCACTCCACACTCTCCTACTACAGTCTCTGCTACACCTTCCTCTTCATCTGTTCCTCAGATATCTATCTCCCCTTCTCATCCTTATAAGAGAACCTTTGTTTCTCAGTCCTCTGTACTTAATTCCTCTCCAGAAACCTTTGAAGACATCCAAAACTTCCTAAAGATGACCGAAGGGAACACTCCACTCCCTCATCCACCCCCTAATCCCTCTGTTCCTACTCCTGCTATTCCCTCCACCCCCCTTCCTCCTACACCCTCCCAACATACCTCACCCTCTCTACCACTTCCACTTGAATACTCACACGAATTCTGTCTATCACAACAGTGTCCTTCCGACCCCTCCTCTCCCGACATTTTTCCTGATGCTTCATCACCTTCCTCAGTCTCCCTTTCTTTTCCTCCTACTTCTCCAACAGCCACCTGTTTTCCTTGATCAATGTCCCTATTCCTTCCCCAGTCAAATACACTGCAATTCACTCAGATGCTTTACTCCCTTATATTCCCCCAACCCCTTATCAAAATACCTCATCCTCTCAACCACCCAAACCAAAAACCCCTCCAAACGCAATTCTTTTCCACATACCTCATCCTCTCAATCACCCAAACCAAACACCATTTATTAATCACTGCTCTACTTCATTTACTTCCCTCCTTTCCCTTTTCATTATCGTACTTTCCTATAACACACTCTATTCTTCGATATCTAACACCCTCCCCTCTCTCCGGATTCTTCTCTTACTCTTCAACAGCAGAGAGCACTGATCGATTCTGGTTGTACAACCACAAATATGTGCATCTCCAGTAGTAGGGAAATGTAATGAGAAAAGTGAAAAATTGGTGATGGTTGATGGAAAGGAAGTCGAGTGTGATAGCACCAGAGAAATTGACTTGACTGTACAAGGTATCCAATTAGAAATTAAAGTTATTGTGCTTTCTATAGTGATTAATGGGATTGAAGTAATAATAGGGAGTTATTGTGCTTTCTAAAGTGATTAATGGGATTGAAGTAATAATAGGGAGTTATTGTGCTTTCTAAAGTGATTAATGGGATTGAAGTAATAATAGGGATGGATGTAATCAGTCATCTGGGTGGTGTAATGATTCGTAATGGAAACGTGGTATTTGGCTTTTCAGCATGTCAGGCGGGGAGAGACGAGGTTTTGTGTGCGGTGGTAATGAAGGAAGTGCAGGTAACGCAGAAGATGGAAGTTGGAGCTTAAGGTAGTGACTCCAAAGAATGTTAATGAATGGAAGGCCAAACCATGCAAAATCACTGACAGGGATTTTTCAGCATAATTCAATGGCATAACGTGGGTTGTGGAATGGTTTATAAAAGGGCTGCCAATTTTGAGGAACAATGTGCTTTGTTATGAGCATGCAATGACAGAGCATGTTAAAGAGGAGTTTGACAGCGAGGTTGAAAGGTATACTGGTGCCATGGGGAAGGGAAGTGGAAAGGGGAGTGTTGCCATTAATGGCAGTTGTACAGCCGACTAAGAATAAAGTTCGGCCAAAGCTGGATTTTCGTGAGCTCAACAGCTATGTAATGTCTCATACAGGTGATGATGCTACTGATGTGTGCAGTGAGTCATTGAAAGCATAGAGGCAAATGAGTCAGGCCTCAACTATTGTGGATCTTAAGTCGGCCTACCTTCAAATTCACGTAGCAAAGAACCTGTGGAAATACCAGCTGGTGAAATATAAGGGTAAAACATATGGTTTAACTAAGCTTGTTTTTGGATTGCGTTCAGCACCGAGACTGGAAATGAATAAGAATGGTGAGCTAATGTTCAGGAGAGGTAATGAGATACTGGAAGTGAAAGGAAATTTGAGCAGAAGAGAATTGTTCTCAATATGGTTGGTGGGTCATTATCCAATCCCAGGATGGCTCCGGGTAGCCTGTAGTTATGTGAAGAGGAGAGCCGAGGGTATGAGATGGGAAGACCAGGTTGGCAAAGAGACTATGAATATGATGTAAGATATAGTAAGGAGAATAAGTAGTGAAGATCCAGTTAGAGGGAGGTGGAATGCCCCAAGTCAGAGAAGGGAGTCATTTGTTGAGATGCAAGTAGTATTGCCACTGGAGTGATATTCGAGATTGGCAATGAAACTGTTGAGGATGGTGCATGGGTAAGGAAGAAGGATGATTATAACCATATCAGTGTAGCAGAATTAGACGTTGTATTAAAAGACGTCAACTTAGCTCTGAAATGGAGTTTGAGAGACATCGAGATTAGAACTGATTCGGCTACAGTGGTTGGTTGGCTAAATTCAGTAGTGACAGCAGAGAAGAGAGTCCGGAAGAAAGAAGCATCAGAAATGATAGTGAAACGCCGCATGGGGACTCTGAGGGAGTTGATCAAAGAGTTCAGTGTGAAGTTGTGTGTGTGTTTTGTGCAGTCTGAGAAGAACAAAGCAGATGTGTTGACAAGAGTGAAGAAGACTTGGCTAGGTTTTCAGGAAGAGGCTGAAAAGGTGACCACAGTGGGTTGCGCATGAGTCTCGAGCATGGAAGTCCTGCACAAGATGCACCACATAGGAGTTGATAGAACACTGTATGTGGTAAGGAAGATTGACCTTACAATTACACGGGACAAAGTTTGACGAGTGGTGAGGCATTGCAGTAGGTGTCAGTCGATTTATCCTGCACCAAACATACTTGAGGCAGGGAATATCAGTGTGAAGAATGACTGGAGGAGACTAGCGATTGATGTGACACACTACAGGCAGGAGTTATACTTGTCCATGGTTGGCTGTGGACCTGGTAGAGTGCCTATATGGAGACGGTTGGGAGGTGAGACTGCAGAGGAAATTTCAGGTATTTTAAATGAGCTTTTTTTTTTAGAAAGAGGCCCAATAGATGAGGTATTAATGGACAATAGCACAGCTTTCCGATCTCAGGTGTTGAAGAATATGTTGGATAAATGGAATGTTAGTCGTTTCTTTAGAGCAGCCTCCCGACCAAGTGGAAATGGAATTGTGGAGAGACATCTGGAGAGACAAGCTGCGTTCAAGTGTGAATGGAGACGCCCAAGTATGCCAACTAAGACATTAAGGGATGAGGTTGGTACTGTTTTTATCAAAATTGGAGTAGTGTGGGTGAAGCCATCAAATGCACGGTGCACGTCAAGGTGGGAGAGAGGCACAGTAACAGATGTTACTCTCAGAATAATGTATCAGTTGGAGGGATGCCACATGTCCTGGACCTCAGGAGAGTGGTGGGTTCTTTGGCAGATGAGGAGCCAGAGGAAGCTAGTGAAGATATAGTCTTGCGACAGTCTCGGGGAAAGACGTAGACCGATGTGGATGAAGGATTACGTAGAGGGAGAGTCGAGCAAAGAGGACGAAGAGCTACGTACTAATTCTTTGTAAAGCAGTAGTTGGTAGTGATCTTAAGATCAAGGGGGCGTGTGGTATAATTAAATGGAAAGTGGTTGCTTTTGCGGGGACTTGTAATAATTTATAATTGTTGGGCTACATGTTAAAGAAAACGGGTACGCCGAGAGACCGGCGAGTGGCGATGGGTGGCAGAGCGGTCTGGCTTTGGATAGCAGGTAGTGTGACCTGAGTAGGGAGCTCCCGTTGTTCGGTTGCAGAGTTTTGTGAGTTGACATTACAGAGTGTTAGGTTGGCGAGAGAAAGAGAGAGTTGTTTTCTTGTTCGCAGTAACAGTGCACAATTGTGGTTCCTTGGTTTGTCTATGGGGTGTAGTTAGGATTTAGTCTATTGCTTTGGTGTCAGGCACGGCGGGTGGTGATCAAAGTACGAGGTAAGAAAATTAAATTTGTCTTAATCATTGTTTGAAGCAAATGTTATTCAGTCAGAATACAGTGCATTAAAGCAAGTTCCAGAGCAAATAAAAAAACAAAAAACAAATTCCAAGCATTACGGAATTCACAGAAAAAGAAAAATATCTTTATAAAAAGATTTATTGAACTTCCATTTCTATACTTACACAATAAAAAAATAGTACAAAGAACACAATACACTATCAAAAAATTAAACAATGACAAAGCATTTCCATTCCATAGTTTAATAAACTATCATTTCATGTAATACTACACATTACAGTAATTCTAAGATTAAGAAAATAAAGAAACAAACATAAGTAGAAAAAATAATAAATAATTAAGGACATCAGAATAACCTGAGGAATTTTCTTTTTTATCACTTAGCAAAATATCCAAAACTGAAAATAAATTACTTAAATCTACAGTCCTAACCTATAATTGTTTGAACCTTAACATTCTTATCCTTATTTCCTTCGTAAAAACGTTGAAAGGAAAACAGGAGAAACTCCTGCAATTTCTACTCTGCTGAAAATGATGAAGGATGAAAAGCAAATTTATGTATCTGTACAAGTATACATACTTGTATGGGTGTACATGTGCTTTTTGTGTTTGCACATGCATGCCTTCCCCTAGGTGAGTATGTATATTTGAATTTCTGTGTGGGTATTTGTACATCTATGCACTTTTCCATGCATACATAAATATATAAAACAATAACTTATAAGGTAAGGAATAAAACATCAGCTCTGTTACTGACTCCCTGATGAATAAAATTTCAAAGATTATCCACAACAATAAGAACATACTTCTCTCCATCCTTGCACACTTAATTCTCACATGGCAGTACTGTAAGAAGTCATTCGTTAAAACTATTATATGCTACCTCACAATAAATCTCATATTTTTAATTTCCAAAACTATAATCCTTGAAAATAACTTAAGAACAATCTATACTTTAAAGTCAGTGGAGGGTTTGACAGCCTCTTGTTTTTTTTTTAATGCATCAGTGTAAATGGCCTAGAATCACCATGATTATATCTAAAGAGAATTGAACTTCCTATGCTTTACAGTATGAAGTACCAGATTGTCTCTTTTCTGTTTTCTTCAGAGCATCAATGTAGATGGCCTTTAAGCTCTTAAGATGAGGCAAGCTGTGTTCCAATCGGAAGGGGTTCCTTTCTTTCTCTATCAAGACCTGCTCTGTTTCGTAGAGTACCTTGATCACCTGCTTGAGTTCTGAAGAGGTCAACATAGATGAGGCTGCAGTAATTTCTTGGTCATCATCATCTTCCTGGGAGGCCTTAACCTGCTCTGCCACTTCTTCAGCTGTAAGTTCTTCCATATGGGACTCCAAGTGCTCCATGATATCATCCTCTGTGATTTCTGCAAAGCCCCGACCAGGAATCTTGTTAGCAAGTTCAATGATCTCCTGGATTTCTCTTGTGATATTAGGGAAGCCAACAAAATCATGGATGCTGTGGGGACACACACTCCTCCAGATTTCATTGAACACTGGAATCTCAACAGACATCCAGCTATCTCTGATGTTGAAGAGCGCCTCCTTCATGCTGTAGTTTGACCAGAAACTCTCGACTAGTTCTTCATCCCTACCTTCTGTGAAGAACATCAACTTCTGCAAGAGGGACTTGGTATAAATCCTTTTAAACTGTGCTATAACACCCTGGTCCACAGGCTGTAAGAGAGAGGAAATATTGCTTTGCAGGAACATGACTTTGATATTTGGATGAAACTCATTAACAAGTTCAGGCTGGTTAATAACACTGTCCACTAAGATTAAGGCCTTTTCTTCAAGGTTCTTCATCTTACAATAAGCTGAAACTTCTGGAATGGCACAGTTAACAAACCAGTCTTCAAACAACATGGTAGTCATACTGGCTTTTCTGTCAAATCTCCAGTGTACAGGCAACATCTGGTATGATGTCACATTGAGATCCCTTGGCTTAACAGTGTGATAAACAAGCAGTGGCTTCAGTCTTAAGTTTCCAGACATATTCGTACATAGGAGGAGGGTAAATCTGTCATTTCTGGCCTTATAGCCTGGAGAAGACATCTCAACCTTGGAGATGAAGGTGTTGGAGGGCAGACGTTTCCAAAAAAGGCCAGTCTTGCTTGCATAGAACACTTGATCTGGAGTATATCCACCCTCCTGCACAACCTGCTGCAGCTGCATAAGGTAGGATTCTGCTCTGGTGTTGCCTGGGAACATGATCTGAGACTGGTAGGCCCCTTCACATGTCATTATCACAGGACCCAGTGTGTTATCTTGGCTGATGTCATACATCACATCATGCTGGAAAAAAACCATGGGCAAATGTATTAACCTGTACAATAGTTCTAATTTGAAACTGCAAATTGAAAAAAAAAAAAACATAAAAAATAATATAAAAAGTATATCATATAAAATAGGTATGTTTTAGTTGCATAAGCTTTCACACAAAGCCTGGTGATGAGACAAGAATATTGAAATTATACAAATAAAACTAACACAAAATTTAAAATCAAGACAAGAGAATCATTGGTCAAGTCGGTAGTGCAGGTTACTAAGATAAACAGCATATGGAATTGACAAAAATCTTAAGACATTTTTCATCTATGACATTTCCACTGAAAAGTACTAATAAAAATGTTGTTTAATCCCTCAAAACCAAATAGTGGTGATTTGAACTGATCACTATGGCCTCCGCTTTTGGTACTCATGCAAGTCAACAATTATCTATCACATATATTCTAGAGCTCATACTGGATCTTTACTTAACATAAACCTTGGTGGAGATTTACAAAAGTTCTATAATTTGTAGTGACAAAATTTCATGACCTGCATCTGGCCCTGCAGTGGAATATACAAATTATCCAAGGCATTCTAGTCCTCACTGCATGAGCAAGATGAAGCAGAATTTCTGACTGGCTGCTTGCAAATTAACACAACAGATGACTAGTTTGTATTTAACCTATCAAATATCTTTATTTACAATTCGTGGTAGATATGTCATAGTTTGTCCTCTTAATTACAAATTTTGTTTACAAAATTATTTACACCACTGAAACCACATTTAGATTCTCATCCACAGAGAATGCATCTACTCTTGTGGAATTCTGTTTTACATTAATATTGTTAAGACTAAAATAATCAAGCTACTTTCAACCTGATTTCAGTGATAGCTTAATTTGTACAATTCTTATGGAAAAAATATATACTCTCTCTGTATACCATAAAAACAAGTGAACAGAGCCCTACATGAGTGCAAAACTTTTCCTCTCATCTCCCACTGGATCTATCACAAACTAAAAGAAGGATTTGCAAAAAGGAAAGCTATTCAAGAGATCTATACTATACACTTGGTAAGGGATGAGCAAGCACTGCAATGTGATTTCTTTATTACGTACATAGCTGGTTCCACTGATGTTTTTCTCGCTTTCATCCTCCGAGATGTAGATTTCCAAGGGCTCTGAAAATAACATGGTATATCTTAGTTTGTGTCACATGAAATATATGCCAATAGAAGATTCATATCTTCAACATCAAAATCACTGCACATGGTAGCATATGTAAAAACAACTTTAATGACTACTTCTTATTACTAAACTTCCTGCTTACTGCTGGGACATTTTATATACACATTATATAGACAGACAGACAGAGAAATGCCTAGACATGTTTATTAGGTGACAGAAACTTAACAATACATAATAAAACCTCATCATGTACTACATATATTGGCCAGGAGAGGGAGCAAAGGCAAGTACAGCATAAGGGTAAATTGTAAAATGGACCACTGAAGTGTACTAGTCTGCTCCTACCTATGAGATATTGTTCCTTACCCACCTGGTTTACAAAGTATTGTCTAATTTTTATGCATTTCTTATAAATAAAATAAAAATATCAAGATTCCACAATTTGTTGAGGTATTTTTTGATGAGGCAACTCGTAACTGAAGTTGAGTTTCAAAATTTGCAAAATAAAAAGAGGAAAAAAGGTAAAATTCAATCTTCATAGATGGAATTCTATGAAAAAAGCAGAGACATACGATGAACTGCACCCTTACCTCACCTATACAAAGACATTTCTTACCTCAATGAATACTCTTAAAAATTTGCAAAACCTAAAAATGAAACAATACAGAAGCCATTTCTTAAGAGGAGGAGACAAAATTACCCCTTCTAAAAATTCTGAAAGAAAAAGGCTTATCAAAAATGCATATAACCTAAAGAGTCAACATAGGCTGGTTTTGGCAAATGAAAACCCAGGTGGTGCCCTTAAATTAGAGAATTAACTGGTTGAAGGGTATATACGTAAGAGAAATTACTTACCATGCTTTATTTCCAAGAAGTCATCTCCATCATTTTCCAGATCGCTACAAGAATAACTCTCCTGAAACATAAAATATGCCATAAAATTAATAACTGTAGATAAGCTGATTCCTGACTCTGAACTTAGAAATCACAACAATAAAAATTGAGAAATTAAAAAGGTATTCTAGCAATCAAACATTAACCCGGAATTTCATATCAAAACCCTTTTAAAATACAATCCTATGCAATCTCCACCACATTTCCCTTAAACAGCAATTGGAAAACACGTAGTTCAATTCCCTTCTCTTGAAAGTTCACGAAATAGCACTGTTAACATGCCAACTGTCAGTTTCAATTCTTGTACTTGAAATGGCCAAAGGAAGCAGACAGCATGCATTTGGGATACAAGTCGAAACTGGCAACTGAATGCAGACGACACTATACATAAATAAAAATTAGAAATGAAAAAAATGCTTGAATCATATTTCAGCCCTCTAATTCCTGATCTAATACCAACTAAAGCAATTAATTAACAAGAATCAACAATATGATTTTTTTCTTTTTTAACAAAAATGCGCATCGAATTTTCGAATGCTTGATCCAATTCAGAAGCACTTCATTTCTCCTGCAGGCCTTTGGGAGTAGAGAAGTTGATGGATGGTTGCTGTGGCAGTAACTGGTTTTGTCGGCGGTCGTGGGCTATGGGCGGCTAGAGGTTTATCACAGTGTGTGGGCTGGGCGTGAGGAAGTAATAGTAGAGCAAAATGCAGATGGTCAGGTTATTAATAATCTCTTCTAACTGCTGACATGTCCTGTTTTGGGAATATAAGCAGTATGAGGAAGTGAAATAGTGGGGTAGAGGAGGGACAGTGGTGTAGTCAGAAGTGAAGTAAAGCTTGTTTGTGTGTAAATTTAATTATTTAAGTGTAGTAGTAGGGTCAAGTATCTAGATAATATAAATATCGAATATTATGAGTGAGTATAAGGTTAACTAGGATATATATATAGTATAGAGATATAATATTATTCGGTTGGGTCGATATAGTATAGGTGATAAGGTATATACAGATGACATACATACATTGACATACATATATCCATACATACAGTACATACATAACCAACATACATACATACTACATACATACATACATACATACATACATGACATTAATATTTCTATAGGATATAGTATATATATATATAGTAGGTGTATATTAGATATAGATGGACTATTAGAGCATTATCATGAAGTTTATATACATATATAATGGAATTGGAGGTGATGGGGAATAGGGTGTATTTATTGATTATATCATGGGATGATATTTAGAGTGAGTGATATACTGGTATAGGGAAGGGGAGGGGGTAAGGGGGGTAATTAGGTGAGGTAGTGTATGATAGTTATATACGATCATATAGTATGTATATGGGCATATGTATCAAGATATGGGTAATATGTATGGTGGAAGTGAGGTATTGGTTAAATATATATGTATAGATGTATATATATATAATAGTAGTAGTTATATATAGTTATAGGTA